AAAAGATAAATGCTGAGGTATACGGTCGAATATAGTTTGAAGAATTTCTGAGAATTTCGAAATATTGAATAATGAAATAATTATCGTTTAATTGTAAACATGTTCGTTATTTATTGCAATGCTTCTAGCTTAGATCAGCGGGTACAAAGTAATATTCGTATCGATATTTTTCAAAATTTCAACGTGTCGGTGTAATTAAGAATATTTGAAAATCTCAAATCTGCGAATGTAATTGAAATTACTCGAAAATCTCTTTCTTATGACTTAAATTGTTAAGATCTACAGCAACTTGACTAACGTTAAATTTGCAGTACTAATTATAAATGAAATTTATTATTCTTCACATAAAATATAAATTAACGCGTAATTTCAAGCAAACAGCTTCATGCTGATTTTCAGCTGCTCCTCTATTTTCCTGAATGTTCGATAATCCAAGAATGCATCATTTTACGGAATAATAAACATATGTAAATAGGCAAGAGGTCATATTTTGAAAAAGAAACATTAATGAGCTGGTCGAGAGATTGAGAGAGGAACTGAAAAATTAAAATAAAACGTGCAATTAGAAGCATTAAGAAGAGAGAAACACCGAACCATGAACTTAAGAGTTATGTTGACAGCGAACAGTTCAATAATGTAGTAAATTCTTGAAAGAAAATTTTGATACAGTCACTGGAGATTTTGTCTGTTAAGTATTGACTCGTAAGGCGATTATCCTATCAAATATACTCGATAATGGCTCTACTTTAAAGGGAACTTTACGCAACTTCGCAGACGCTTCCTGGCACGTAAATTTACGCGCCACCATCCATAAAACTTCCATCCAATGAAATCGCAATCTTCGCCTAATTCGCGCATTTTTATCCGCTAATGTTACTCTCATCGTGTGTGTTTCCAAGCGTTAAATAAGACAAAATAGCTTCCCGGAAAAATACTTCAAATACTTTACTAAAATGACAATAAGATAGCACTTTAATCCGATTGAAATCCTGAGATGTGACAATGTTACAAAGAGAATTAAACAGCAAAGTAAAATTTAAGGAAATATGCGAAATTAATTGTAGATTAATGAAAATACACGCACTTCTACGTCAAATACTTAGAAGAGAGATATCGCTATTTTATACGACTCAATATTTACTCCTTTGAATAATTTCCGGAATTCTTCATGCATGTATAAATTAGCAAGACATTTAAATATTTAAAGGATGTACACTGCTTTTATTTAAAATACTGTTTCTCTTGTATTGCTTCGTAATGGAAGAATTGTATAATAATAACGCGAAGAAATAATCTAAGAATTTCCATTATTCGAAACGAAAATTGTACGCAACTGTGAATTTTGAAAAATAACGAACTGATTAATAGTTATAGAATTCTTTTCACTTCGATACATTTGATATTCTTTCTTTTATTTAACTGTTATACGAGCAATTTTATTCCTTACACAAGAAACACGCGCGAAAGTTATTTTACTTTAAGATAAAGTAACAACATGTCTCGAACAAATTACCCACGTGTCTTTCTTATCTACCATTTCTTATTGTACCTTCGTTTCCTTCGACTGGCGTTCCCCCTTTGTAATCATTTACGATCGAAAATATCGATGACAAAGTAAGTTAGTAAATAAAATTACGAAATTACTGAAATTCGCGAAATTACTAAATTTCTGTATCTCTGTGACAAGCATATTTGGTCTAATATCTCGAAAATGATCAGAGACAGAGAATCTTGTATTCTTCAAGGACAAAATTCCTCAAATCCGCCAACTTTGACAGCGATTTCCACCCCTTCACTGTGCACAATTGCCAATATAAAAAAATACGCGTCGAATATTTTTTTAAGAGCTACTATTTACCAAAGTTTCATCGAAATTGGTGATACCACTTCGAAATGTTCCCTTGCAACTAACTTTACCGAAGAAATGCAATTTAAATCAGACGGTACTTTCTATACAAACACAACAGGTGTCCTAATACTCACTAAACCCTTTGCCTTCAGGTATCGTGCAATGATAAATTATAAATTACAAAGGAAAATAAACCATCTCATATGCACCAACGTTACACCGAAACTGAATATTTTCTAACAAATATTACGCTGAAATATTGAAACAAAGGGAAATCACAAGGTACTGCCCGACAGCTGCCAAATGAGTGCGGAATAATTAGACTATTCGGGCCACAAAGTGTTGAAGAAAACAATCGCGGAATGTTCGATTCGATCTTTCGAACGAGAAAAAGCATTTCGCGCAAATTAGGAAACGCGAATCCGTTATTCCTAAGGACATACGCACACGATACCAGTCGGTGATCCCAGAGGATAGAGCATCCCTTTCCGTCAACGCAGGTGCGCGCTCGGAAGGCGCGCGGTAAGTCAACCCCTCCACCGTGCACCACTATGCCAACCCTGTGTGCCAGACATGTCTATAAAAGCCCTCATCGCACGACCCGCTGTCTTCGTGTTATCTCTCTGAGCCCTTCGATCGGGATCCTGCACGGGTCGAGCGTGTGCCACCAAAAGATTTTGGTGAACCTGTGCGAGCGGACCGGTTCCTTGGATCCACGTTTTTCGCTTGTCGGACGTTTTTTCCGTTTTCGAATCGAAGGTGATCCAGACTAACCATGTAAATAAACGGACTGACCGAGACTAGGGATATTGTTTTTAGAGGAAGCTGTTTGTTAATGTTTTCCTTTTCTTCACGTCTGCATTAGCTTTACTTTTCTTTCTGGATTGTCCTTCGAATGTGACGAGCAAGGAATGTTAGTTGCAAGTGACAAAATGGAAAGCTACGAATAGTGTGTAGTCCAATGTTTGTAATAGTTACCAACTCTGATACTGAAAAAGTGTTTGATAACCATTTCTTTTCTATTTCTTCAGTTTTTCGTTAGTTTCAATTTTGTTTTGGATTGCCTTTGGAATGTAACGAGCAAAGAATTTTAGTTGCAAGTGACAAAATGGGAAGATAGAAATTTGGAGATAGTGTATTGAGATTTAATTGATCTATTGTACGAACTGCAGTCCGAGTTTACTTCGATGGTCTTCGTTTGAGCAAGTTTATAATACTGAACGGTAATATCAATACCAAGGGAATATTTGAAACTTATGTTCCTAATATTTTATTTTAATACTACCACTAAATCTCGATATTAGAGTTCATGTGTTAATTTCTCGTCCTTGTATTAGGAGGATTAGAAGAGAAGCAGTAGTTTAAATGCAAGACATTTGCTTGTGTAAATTTCGAGATTTATTATAATCATCTGTTGTTCCTTATCTCCAGGTTCGTTGCCCAAGAATGGTTTCTGTCCTCTCTTTGAGTGTAAACAAATAGTGCGAATTAACGATATGAAGGATAACGCAAGAAGAAAAGTGTGAAAACATTGTTTGTATGTATATTAATCGTTGGTTGCATTTTTAGTTTATTTATCTTTGCTTCTGATACGATCTTTTGTTTCTTCGATGTAAGAATTCAAACTTATCTAAATCAGATCTTTCTTCGCTTGCAAACCGGAGCTAAGAAGATAACCAAAAAGTGATCTAACTTTGGAAAAGATCTATTCAAATTTAACGTGCTTATTTAAATTTAGTTAATTACATTTTATCCAATATGTCCCTCGATATTTGATCGTTTCTTGTAATTTTCATCTTTTCTTACTCTCGATATTTGATATTTCTTCTAATTTTCCTATGGTAGTATGAGAATTAAGATAGGAGCTCCGCTTACAATTTCCATTTTAATCTAAAACGATCGGAAAAGGAGAAAAGCAAATTCGAATAAAATTTAAATCCGCGAACGTACGATTCAGTACAATAGAACCTAATTTCAGCTTAAATATGTTAAATGCTTTATTAGTGAAAATGGAAATTTAATAGAAACACCTGTGAAAAATATATAAATGGAATTAAAATTAACGTCGCTTAATCATCAGTATCCCGAAATATTGAAAATAATTTTCTAAGGAGAACGAAATTTACGCAAGCAAACAATCTTCAATTTTGATTTCACGCAGTACTGCATACAATGGGACCTAATTGAGCTATTAAAAATGCAAAAAAAAGCCAGTACAGTATATTACAGCGATCTTGATCAGGTTCGATAAATTCTAGTCAAGTAAAAATTGTTGTTACTCGGAAGATGCTTTTTACGTAGGTCGCGAGCTAAAAGATTAACTTCCTTCCGAGAATTACAATATACTTAAGGACCAAAAGGAATACGGTGCTAAACAACACATTTGATAGAATGGAAAATTTTAATTTAAAATCTTTTCCCTCTTATTTCTTCCATAGAAACTTCCATTTTACAACATTTATGAATTAAAGAGGTTTCGTTACGCTTAAATTAATACTTCCATAGTTCGAGACCACATTTTCCATTCAGTAAATTAAATAATTATCAATAGCAACGTTAAATTAATTTCCTTTCTTTCACCTGTTTCGCAATATTCAAGCATTCAATATTTGTAAGAAAACGCATTTCGGAATAGCACAATAAAGTACAATATCGCGCAAAGTGTAACAGTTATGACTATACACAATAATTTGGAAACTTTGAAACGAAGTGAAAAGTTTGCTTAGCAAAAGTTACACGCACATCATATCGGCAAGAATTCTTTCACAAAAGGTGTCTCTAAAATATCACCGATCTCTCATTTTCCTTCTATGTTTTCCCAATTTCGAGGTTTTCATTTCAGTTTCGGTATTCCGAATATCTGCATAAAATTTCGCTCATTTTCATACCGTAGGAACTTATCTATTCGTCCCTTTTTTTTCATTTTCAATCGCATAATTAAAATGTTAAATGAGCATACCGCGAACAATACAGAAATAAAAAAATTGCAAATGGTGTTTCAGCGTCGAATTTTAAATATTTATAAATTCTCCAAGCGTTTCATGTTCGCAAAATAATTCTCGCGAATAATATTAACCGAGATCCTAAATATTATCTGAAATAATTCTCCACGTTTGTGTGTTTCTTGATAACGCAGAACAACACTGGTCACATGGCGATCGCTTCAGACCACTCCGTGACGACTGTTATTTGCACTTGGACCTTCATGATAATTTTCTGTTTTGCGGGCAGTGCATCAGGTACATCTACATTTCTATAATTATTACATTTCTCGCGTGTGTTGCATGTTTATGTGGAATATTTCAGCTGCTTTCGATAACATGATAAAACACTTCAGACAGAATTGAAAAGCTCTATCCTCGCTGGTTCCGATAGTTTCCCAAGATAAAGTGCATTTCTTTATCTAATCAGCAAAATATATTTCATCTTGTACGAAATAAAAATCTGTAATTTTGTCTTTTTCAATGTTTCATTATTTAGTGCAGCATATTTATTGTAATGTAAAATATTTGAGCTGCTTTCAGTAGTAGGATAAAATACTTTAGACAGAATTAAGGACTAGAATTTCTAACATTTTTCAAAAATAAAATATATTTCGTCGTTTAATCGGTAAAGTGAAAAGTAGAATATTGATATCTTTCGTTTAATGTAAAGTTAGTTCAAGTAAATTAAGAAGTTGTTCTATGCAACAATGTAATAATTTCGCATAAATGGGAAATAAAAATGATCTCACTTGGTTGCTGAAGATGACACAAATATTCGCATGAAATACACTTGAATTTCTTGGAAATGATGAAAACCAATGGAAAATATCGTAGCTGAAAATAGATACGTTTCAACATTGATCAACTTTACCGAACGGAAGTTTTCACGGATATGGATAAACGGAGAAACGGTATCGTTCCAGATTTTATAACAAATTCAATTGTTCCGATACCGTTATTCTCTTTCGTATTTTTCATAGTTCCAAAATGTATATTATCAAATATCGATAATACTTCTTTAATCCAATGTTTGAAATACTAAGAGAATTGAAGTAGAAATATTGTACCACTCACAAATACGTTAAATAATAATTCTTAATTAATACTTCGAAGGAAGCTTGAAAGAAAATTTATTTAACGTAACACAGAAACGTAATGAATTATTTTAAGTAACATTTTATTTTATCTGATAATTGAAAGACCAAAAATACTCCTGCAAACTTTGTTACGTTCACAGATTCTATTTAACAGTAACAATTGTGATTACTATGATTAAATTTCCCTTCTTCGCTTCCCACTATGAATTTCAAATTAAGTGTGTTTTCGTAAAACAAGGGACTCTTAATCTGTTAAAATTTAAACAGAAAATGACACCACTTTCAGACATATCAGCGACAGAGAATTAGGGACACCACAGTGTGCAGCTATGTCGTATTGCAATATTATAAGAAATGAAGTTTTTTAAACTGTCAGTTACATTTTTGATGTTGTATCTCGTTACGTTTAAAGTGGTGCTGTGTTGCACTTTAAATAAATGAAGCGTGACCTTTATCGTGCATTGTGAAATGGGACTTCGTTATAAATTCTGAGATGGAATGGCGGTGTTAAAGAAAGTTAGAAATTTTCTATATAAATTCAGCTAAACGTTGAATTAAAATTACTGCCACTTAATCATCAGTGTCCCAACGTTGAGAATAATTTGCCACCAAAAAGAAAATTTACTAATTAACTATAAATTGTACTTTGTTAAACTTTAAATCTGTAGAAACCTACATTATCATTTTTCTTTAATATTTATATTCCAATTGCTATAAATATTTTAAGCAAATTGAATGATAAAATGAAAATCGTATTAAACGAAATTGATCCTTTACTTTCGAGTGTATTTTGTCTACATAAAGAAAAATCACTTAGCGGCATAACGGAACGATTTGTTTAAATTACAATAAGTCTTGCGCGTAAAAGTTGCCAGGATTCGAGGGGAAAAAGTTGCAAAATCCTCGCGTTGATTTTATTTACGGGCCGCAAAGTGGAGCGTTAAAAAGAAACTCTTCTGACGCTTGCTGACATTATATCGGAATGTACGTAAATAAGAAAAAAATTCTCGCAATTAATCCTGCTCCCGAGGCGGGAAGTAGTTATAAGGACTAAAATGATGCCCGTCTTGTTTTTCCTCTGCTATAAACTTATTAAACGCATTAGTGATCGTGCAAATTTCGCGAAAAATCGCTGAAACATGTATCGCTGATCCACGAAGGGAATTCTGTGAACGAATGTTCTCGACGTTCCATTAATTTTTCTCTAACTTTAATTACCTAATTAAAGATATTCGAAAGTACAATACTAAATACATCAACTGAGTGTTTTACACTTAGTTTCTGAAAGAAGAGTACGAAATTTAATTCACTTTTATTCACAATTTTGTCTATATTATATTTAGAAAAATGAATTAATATTTTTAAAAAAAGCTTGAGCCATTTAGTTGTTAAATTGAAACTAATAAACACTTCTTCCGTGAATTATTAACTTTTAAGTGTATAAACAAATATTGATTTTTTTAACACTGATATAAAAAAAAAAATATTAAAGATCTGTGAAGAAGGTGAAATCCACTATTGCACTGGAGAACCTTTTGCAAAATGGTTTATCATATGGAGAACATATTGTATATCTTTTCTAGCACATATTAGTGAATATTGGTTTGTATGACTAACAATTGTAAATATAACTTTAACGAAATTCTGCTGAAATTTGCTTTTTCGTCGTAAACGATTTATAATTGAATTAATGAAACACCGTGCATATCATGGTTTGCTGGTAATGTTTCGAGGAAAAGCAACGGAACAAATTATTTTGAGAGAAAGAATTGCAAATGATCCCAGAAAACTGTTCGTCGAAGATCCTAGTAATTTATGTTGTCAATTTGTCTTTAATAAATTCACAAATGGAAAGTAGAAATAAATTACAAAACCGATTGCTTCCCCTTTTTGTCATATTTCTGTCTGATCGTGGGGAAGAAAATTTTTACAATGGAAGGTTGATTGCATCGTTAAGTGAAAATGTATAATTAAAATGTTTAAACTGCATTATAATTATGCAAATCTCGTGTCATGTTATTTCAATATTATGTCCAGGGAATATTCCGCGATTGAAATGAAATGACCGTACGGAAAGTTCAATGGTGAAGAAAAATTTGAAAATTAGCTGTTTACTGCATTCGTTACTCTATATATATGGCTATTTATTGATTGAAATTAATAGAAATCTCTAATTCTAGAAAGTACGCTTTTTTATAAAATAGATCATTTTATTTTAACATACCTAATCAGACGAAGATAGAATATACAACTTCTGTAAACGATAAAAATGTAAAATATAACGAATACAAATTCACATTTTTAATGATTCAATATTGAAGCATTTGTAACAGTCACGAACCTACACTTTCAAGTGTTCATTATTAACATAGTTCTGTAAAACTCAGTCGACTTTCATCGACAATCTAAATTCGTTACGTCGAATAAGCGAGGTTATTCTAAGCTTGTTCTGGATTCCTTCGCATTATCTCCTGTCATTCCTCCTTAAATGACACAAATTTTTCCTACTGAAAAAGCATATGTTGAGCTATCACTTAAAAGTTGAAAAAGATATAAAATTTCTTCTCCTATAAATATTTCATTTTAGAATTAACCAGAATTAGATAGAATTACACTCCCACAATTAACTCTCAATTATTCATTCTGTATTTAATCCAAAAATCAATGAGAACTTTATTTTTTAGACACCTTATTCCACAAAACTTTAGTCATCAGTCTCGAATGTTATTAAAGAGAGAAATAACGTGCTACAACACATATGCATAAATTTCGTCTATAATTAGTCAGTGCACTATCACAACGCTCTATTGTCTGTTATCCAATATCTGTTCTATTGTGAAATTTATTTGAAAAAAAAAAGAAAAAAAAAGTGAAAGATACAGAGGATGAAAATAAACGTCTATATTCCAAGATTTTGCACAAGTTCCTACACGGTATTATTCCTGATTGAAAGTTTCGGTGGAGAGTGGGAGACTGTTATTAAATGCAAAACGCAGGCATAATAGAACGGCTGGCTTAAGAAGGTCTAACGTGAACAATAATAACAAAGTTCGTGCAACTTTGTTAATGGGATCATCCGTGGGATCATCGGACCGCGTTAAATTTTAATTGTATGTAGAAAATCCCCCGTTTACAGGGTATAAGATTAGCAACTTCACGCGTTCCAGCAGTTTCGTGATGGTAACCTGTTGCAACTAAACTTTGAGGATCGTTTTGTTGCCTCGTGACTTCGCTGATCGATACTTCAGTAAGCAAGTACTTCTGAGAGGACTGTTAAAAGATACATTTTTTCATTATTTAAAAAGAGTTGGAATTTTTTGGGATTATGGATTTAGTTCTTGAGACATGAGAGAATTTCTCTTTACAAGTTTGTATGATTATTTTAGAGATAATTGCGGAAAGCTGTTTACTCGTTGAAAAGTCAAATTAACAAGCTAAACAGTAATTTTTGTTTTGTCAAATATTTATTTATATTTGATACTTGAAATGTAGATTTTTCTCAAAGGATTGCACAGAATTGTAATAATAATTTTTATTACGAGTTTCACAGTCAAGGATATGAGTATTGCTACGGTCCTGACTGAATCGCAAACGAACAGTAATAAATTGCCACTAAATGTCACTAATGTACAATTAACCGATGAATTCTGCTCTACATGTTTGAATTTCCTTATTTGAATATGTCAATACGATTTAAAGCAACTCGTCAGAGAAGGGCAAAACTAAAATTCGACTTTATTCTCGTTAATAATCTCCATTTTGTGCAATTTCTTCTTTAAACTACGAACGTGATGCTTTTTATGAAACATCATTCTCTCACTATTTACTATTTATATAATTCTTTTCAAATAACAAAAATTGACACTCAAAGAATAACGAGATAAAAGTGTGTGTAATATAACAATATTTAAAATCGTCACATTAAAACAACAAGATTAGTAACAGAAAATTGGTGAACCTTTGCAGACTGGTCTGCATATCCTTTACATGAGCAACTGAACACAAACTTGTTGCTTGATCTATAACATCAATATAACCTACTTACCGCTTAGTTTCACTTAAATTTAGTAAACATACAAAGCTGTTAGCACGTCGAAGTTTTGTATTTTTCTTAATAAGCATAAACGATCACTTTTGAAACTCGTGACTTAAAATTTCAGAATGTTCAAACTTACGTTTAATTGGACCAAATAATTAATTAGAATAAAAGCAGACTATCGTTAAAAGCATTGAAATAGTGTATCTTCCAATGATGTATGAACAAATTTGCAATCTCTCATTTTTAAAATTAATAGCACGAAGCTTCAAAGAAGTATTTTTGAGATTTATCGATCATCCAACATTCATTTTTGTCTATAACATTTTTTTAGTCAAACTACATAATTTGCCACCCTGTACATCTTCCAAAAATTTACAATATAAGTCTTCTACTTTATACAGATACAACTGTATCGATTATTTTCTTCTCGCTGACAGAGGACCGCACAAACACTTGCAGAATAAATTTCGTATCATTTTTTTTACACCGAATTTACCATCTCTTCGCGGTGCACTCTGAATATTCTAATGCTCAATATTTCTCTCCACGTTCTAGCGAGAGTATCTTAAATAAAATAAAAGGAACACCTCCTTCGCTTCTCCGATATAACATCCAAGGTTCAAAGACAGCGCGAAAATGACAGAAGAAACGAAAGAGACGACGACGGTGGTCCGTCGTGAACAGCGAAATCAGAAAACCAATTGTTGCCTTTGTCAGCTGGCTTGATGCAGCCGGATATGGAAATGTTGCCGCGCGTGTCTTTCTCCCCTGCACGTGGATTCGTATTAAAGATGTGTCAGTTGAACGTATTACGTGTAATGTTCAATTCTATTCGTATATATATTTCATTAGGCCTGTATTGGCATTTCGTTTAGGTACATCCGAGGTGTTTCGTATCGCACGTTGAATACGTCGTCGCGTAAAAATCTCGAATTACATCGAGATCGAGGGAAATTAACGCATACTTCGCAGATTTACTACTCTCGGCTGAATTTTCAATTTTAATATTTAAAACTGTATTTTCCTTTTTTCTATGTCTTTAATTGAAGAAAAGTTCGCACAGAAAAATGTGACACTCTGTGTGCGTAGAAATAAAAACGTGATTCATCTTTGTTCTTATAATTGTTAAATAGAAATTTTGTAAGAAATTCTTCATTTTTCTCATTAGAGTGGTTTCTTTAGAAACTTACTCTTTCGATGTTATTTAAAATGCTAAGTTCCGATGCAAAGATTCTTGCAAAAAGTCACGTATCGATGGTGGGGCAATGTACGAAGCGCGTTTACCTTTAAAATTTTACGACACGACAAACGGATTCACACTTGAGCTTACTTCGAAATCTCGGAAATTCGAATGTAGGAAAAAATTGAAAAAGTTCATGTCTAATGTAAGAAGTACGATGTTTATCTAACAATTATTTCCCTCATTCGCGTAAAACTTTTATTACAAAAATTATTTAAAATTTGTAATATTAAAAAATCTGCAATTGATAACGATTTCCAATATAATTTTTCTGATATCGATAAAAATAATTTGCACAAACCTAATTACGACGTTAAATAATTTTCAATGAATTAAATGTTTCGTCTACAAAATTACTTTTATCATAAAAATAATGAAACAAGTGAAAAATACATAAACGTGCCTCTAGTTTCACAGTTTAGTCGATTATCAATTTAACATTATGGTTACAAAGTTCAGCATATTTACAGTGACCGTTCAAAGTACCAATTTTACGAAACAACGCAGTAGACATTACATGCACTACAATAGCAAAGAGTACACACGTTGAATAATAAAAATTCCACGTGTACCTACTATCTAGAGTATTGTTAGCGTCAGAAAATTGTTATTACACACGGAACCTTTACGATATTATCTTCCGCGTGCAGTGAATGGTGAAATGGTCCTCAGAAAACGTTGAATCAATATAAAATCTAATTTAGCTCACCGAAACCTTTGAACTTTATAAACCAACCTTTTTAACTACATCTATTCAGTGTATATTTGTAATAATTATACAAATTCAAAATAAACGTAGAAATTCTTTTCTTTCTAAAAATTCGAAAATAAGGAATACTGATTGTTCTGTAATATTTTCATAAATGCAATTTTTATTCTCTATCGATATTTAAAATTTAGAAATAATAATAACTCAAGTCAAAATGCATTGTACTTAAGATACCATGAGTTACGGTAAATAGAATGTTTTTTCAAATTTTACAGTTTTCCATGACATGTGAATGAAAAGGATAAAAATTTAGATCATGGTGCATACAGAACGTTTAATTGATTGCTAAAAATAACGTATTTTTTACATGTTATAACATTCAGTAGGGTTAAAGAAGATCCGTGAACCTTTTCATTTTCGTACAGGATCCACTTAGACGCTCTGTTGAATTTTTAATTAACCCAGTTCATCGTGCAAGTAACCACACTCGCTTGCTTCAGCGTTAATTTAAAAACCCTAATGAGATTGAGTCGCCCACCTTAGATCTTTGTTCGGCAGAAATTCAGAAGATAAAGTATCCTGTACACCTGCCCTTGTTACAAGAGCGTGTATTAAGCATTTTTTATTCCACCGAATTATCAAGTTATCACGTGTATTTAACATGATATTCAATTAGTTTGCATCGACTTGTTTAAAATTTCTATTTTTTTTTCCAATAATCCAACGATTTTCTGTGAACACCGTGTGTCGGTTACGACGTCGATGAATTATTAGTTATTTTTATTAAATTTTCAAATATTTATCAAAATTTCTGTCATTAAGGAAATAATCGACCAAAGTTATTTGCACTATACATAGAGAAAATTATTTCTTTGAAACCTTTCTACTGTTCATCATCCTTTGTCGGCCAGTTCAAAAGAATTTTAAAATACAAGTAGTTAACAAGGAGGTCTACATTTTGTGTTCTTTCCTAAGAAAGTTTTCCTCGAAATATGCCAATGACGAGTGAACCATCAACGAGGGTTAATTATTTTTTTTTAAAAACCGGTTAAAAATCAGAATGAAATTGCTGTGATTGTCAAATATTGGGCAAAGGGTGGCCCAACAAAATATTAACTTAATTAATAAAAAATGATTATTTTCACATTTCATTAGTTTGATTTCCTCGATATAATAATTATAATAATTGCTAAATTTCCACTTGAGGTGTAAGAGAAATTATGCTCTGAGCGCTGTATTTTTTAACTTAACATTTTAATTATTTCTCAAGGTGAGAAGCCTCAAAAAATACGAGGTACTCAATGGTAGTTAAAATTCTAGGAAGCAGCGTAACCCTCTTTTTTTCTGACGGAAATATAGTACACGTGGTAATGGTAAAAAAATGTTGACCTAACGTTTCTCACTGACCGCCACAAGGGTATTAAATTTGGGAATGGCAAACAAGAAGGTATGAATGTGAGGCGCGATTGCGTGAGAAGAAGATCGTGTGAGAAAGTGGCAGTAAAGTGTTGCAAATTATGCAGTAATTCGTTTCAACCCCTAGACTAAATAAACCATAAATCTTCTGACAAATTCGGTGTTTTCTGTAAATATAAAAAATCCCACCTTTATCGTTTACATATTGTACACTAATGTCGCCATTCGTATTATTTAATCCTCCAAAAGCAGATTTTCCAATTCACTGCAGATTCCGAAATATTTGCATTTGTAGATTAAAATGGAACACACTACATATGTATATGTACATCTTCAGCAACAGGTGGGAGAAATTTTAAGGGATGATTCTGTACATTGAAATGAAAAACAAAGAAATTTCAAATTCTGTTCCACTTTTTATCTATAACTGACTAAAAATTGGCCTAAAATTCGGGAAAAAACCAATGGAGCATAGTTTCCACAGCTTACCTCGTGGAAAACATTCTGAAATCCTCAAGAGCACATCAAAATCTGCTCTATGATATTTTCGAGTGTAGAAATTCATTTTTTTTACACTTTCAAGTGGAGAAGATTAATTTCTTTTAGCATACGTACCTAAATAAGTAACTCACAAGCACATACACCCTGATTTTCGACAAAAATATTCATACAATACCAAATGACATATTTAATTACTAAGTACTAAGTATAAAGACTTGCAAATTCGATTAATTTACAACTGAAATTAGTTGTTAAGTACTTAACTACTATGAAAATGTTGGAAGAAGAATTTGATCAGAAAATTTTATTTAATTTCCTTTAATCAAAAAGCATAAAAATTAAACCATGTATTTTTCATCTATATATTAACACAAATTAAATAAACCACTATTAACCATGAAATATTATTTGTTACAGGTTCCTGCTTAAGCTATGGACATTCGTGTTGGGGAGGTATGATTTTATTCACTTCTAATGTATCATAAATACATTTCCGTTGAACTGAATTTTATATAAAAGTGTAGTTCCCACTGAACTATATTTTCTTTCTCTTTTCTAAATACGAAACAAGAAATACCATATTTACTCCATAAAATTCTATGTATTGTTGTTAATTTTACAAAATAATGCACTGACTGTATTACAATTTCTATAACATCAAGTGACTTATTTTTTATCGTTTAACGATATTTTCGATAATCCGACTATTCTGACAGCACATAAATATAAAAATGGTTCCGTATGAATGAATAAAATATAGCAACTTAACGGAGAAACGAGTTTCCCCTTCTGTTCAAGCAAAATATACGTATATACTTTCTTAAAATGAACCGTTTAAAAATCAGCTTCTTTCAGAAGTTTCTTATATGAAAGTGAAAGAGGTACTTTGAAATTTGGCTTGATACACACTTCTTGAAACTCCAGGCATAGACGTGTTATCACGGAAAATAAAACCTTTCGCCTATATCAAATACAAAATGAAATTCAGCAAGAGTACAAATAAATCATTCTTCACCTTTTACCGCTTCTCACTTTAACAGTGAGAAAAGGAACGGTTCAAAAATAAAAATAAATGTTTTACTCAAGCCTGAAAATATCGCCTAATTTCCATTCGACATCTAATTTCACCGAGTAATCAGAATAAAAGAAATTGTAACTGAACACAATAACATCCTTATAATCATTAGTATCAGTAAAAAAAATATGCAAAATAATACAGTCCTTGCGATAAACTTTTTAATTCAAAAATCTGTACCTCTGTTGATGCAATTTCAAATTGCAGCTCATGGAAAACGCAGCGGAGGACATAACAATGCATATTCAGTACCATCGAAAACAATAAACGACTTGCAGCAAGATACACCATCGCTTACCAAGGAACAACTGATGCTCTCTCGACTGATTGGCCGCCCTTTGGTATCTAACAAACACAGAGACAGGTGGGACAGACTTTTCAAAGTAAAGACGAATTTTCCCGAGAATTGGAACGATGGTGAGCGAACCGCACATTTTATTAGCGACGAGTCTATTCGGTAAGATGTGTTATCCAATAAATAACAAAGCTGTTTATTCGCTTTTAAATGCCTTTTCAATATTTTAAACGCCTCCGTCAATTTTTCGATGTTAAAATTTGTTAAAATATTTTGAAAAATTGCCTAAATTTCTTTCAACCTTAACTTATCCAGTGTGTTAACATTTTCAGAGACAGAATGAATACCGAGGAAATGGACGAGGGAAAAAGTAAACATACGAATGGCGTACAGGATGTAACGGGAAGTGTGAACGATGAAAGGAACGAAATTCCGGAAATACTATTGATACCAACAAACGAGAACAATGAACACGGCAGTAAACCACAGAACATAGAGTTTTTCAAATTCTTGGTAAATTAAAGTACCGTTAATTATAAAATTCTACGTGTTCCCGGCAATTAATCGGTTATTCCTTTTACTTTTTCAGAGTGACGCAAATGATAATTTCGAATAAGAGAACGGAACATTTCTGTGAAACATAATGTAAAATAGAAATTGTCATAAATACATAATAACTGGACTAATGAGAATATTGTTTAAAACTAATTTCTTAGAAATCGTGTTTCGTGAATGGAAAAAATTGAACGACTATCTTATCAACATGCCAATCCATTAATCGTTAATTTGATACTTTAGTCGTACATATGGCAATTCATATATAAATAAATTCATACATAAACAGTTGCCTCTGTTTTCATCTTTCTGTAACTGTGATTAATACATTAAATTTCGTTTAACCAACTATAAGTTTTGTTATAAATACAAAAGTATCGAATAAAGAATGATAAATTAATATACCGATGATAACACAGTAGTTTCTTTTATGACCTTTCATGCTTTTTATTGCAACCGAAAATTCCACCAAAAAATTATATCATAGTATTATCGAGTGCTGAACACTTCTTCGTTAAAAATTACAAGATTTATATTTAACTATTATAAAAACCAAAATGATCAGATTTTTGGTACTAAGATTTTCACTAATGCGCACAGAATGTCACACATTTTTCTTATTTCACCATTTCTTAAATTAGGAACGTAGAAGAAATAAAAGGATACTATTTTAAATATTAAAATTCAACCAAAATTTGTCGCATATTGAAATCATTTTTGTCACTGGATCATGTTGCTTCCAAGAAAAGTGTACCGACAAATATCCGCGTTGGATAAACAAGTAGATTAACTTCCTTATATATCAGAGACTAAGTCTGCTATCGATTACGAAGTTCCCACGATGCTTTGCATTATCGAATAGCATTTCCACCGATGAATAATTGTGCAAGTATAGAAAAGGACGAGTTTTCGTTTGTAACGTACCAGAGGTAATTTCGAAGGTGTTGGAATAAAATGAGAATGAAGAAAATAGTCTATCCATTACGAAGTTGTATTAATTATTCATCTGGAATATCTACAATTGAATTGTTATCACACAGCTGCTTTAGTCACATTCATTTATCATTGCGGTTATTACCGTGATTAATATGTATCAATTTCGAAATCAACACGTTAATATTAATAACTAAATAATCTTCCATTTAATAAATTCAGTGCTATATAAGTATCGATGAATTTTTATTGATGAAAATTTACAAGAGAAGAGCTTAATTCTTAATTCGAATATCGTACCATTCTGTAACACGATATTAATTAAACATTTTACTACGAAATTTGATTTACAATTTAGTATGCACAAAAATGGAAATATTAAATATTGGAGGTGTGAATAATTTACGAAAAATTTAATTTTGCAGAAGAAAAATGTGGAAGGTATGAGAATTTTAAATATTAATGAAATTAAATACTAAATAATTGAAAACATGACTTAAAAATTGCAGCACTTAGAAAACATAATAGAAGGGATTAAACTTATCTTCCTCTAAATAATGTGAAAATATTATGTTCAAATAATTTATCCTCCAAAAATGAGTAATCAAAGATACACCTACAGTTTGAAAAAGAAAAACACATAACTATTAAGGACATAATAAGCAAATGAAGAAAATTTGCTTTAGTGAATTAAATACAATACAATTGGATATTACTTATAGTATTTATTATGCAAATAATGTCACTCCTGAATAAATATTACAAATTACTATAATCTATTCAGTACTGTTTGATTGTAAGATATATGTATGCTTAACAAAATATTGGTATAATTCAGATATGTTTTAACTAATAATTAAGTCATTGTTCAAAAATAATAAAAAAGTCAAAGTAAATTCTTTGATTCTGCATTGAGCCACGTTTATCTGTTAATGGCAAACTGACAAAACTTCATTTCAAGGAATAACGTTTTATTCACTCTACTTCATACTCATACATAATTCAGATGGAACAATTGTATGTCACTGTTAAAACCGAAGTTCGTGAAAAACATAAAGAAATAGTAAAATACAACGATCTCTGGTGTGTTTATTGATTACGAGCAAGAAAAGAAATACTCTATTATTAATCGTACATATTTTATCTTCGTGACAGTTTAAATACAATTCATTTCACGCATTTTACTTTGCATAAAAGTAAGGCATACAAATTTTTCAAATTATAATAGAGTAACTGCTGAGGTATTACATTAAAACATGTTCATTTATCAATTTTACATATTTCTCTTGTCTAACTTCAAATTCAAAGTGTAATAGAAATGCCTATCCGTTTATTTGTTATTTAGCTCCGCGTCCGGTTGATGAAGGCGATGATGCAACGTCAACTGCAATTATTAATTGAATCGTTAATTTCGTAGTTCTTCAAACTTGCATGCTTCGTCCTATTAAGTATTTTCTACAAAAGTGTTACACAGTTTCTACTGTTTTTTTGTGAATTTAGGTTCGTTTTCACTCCTTCCAACTGAACTGGAAATAAAAATCTGAAATGTCTTCCTAATGAGGATCGGCATTCACGTGATAACAAGTTGCAGAAGATAAAGAAATTTACCAAATGTGGAAGTAAGACAAATTGTAAAGAACACGAGGATGAGAATACAAAAAGAAAACTCCTAAGAATTACGAATCTATTATACACTACCGGCCAAACGTTTGGAATCAGTACTGAATCTGCTACTAATTTTTCATAGACTTGGTATTGATATTGTGGAGATAAATAGCAACTTATCTCGTATCGATTGATTTGAATGATACAAAATTCGTTAAAAAATTCTTACAGCTGCTGACTTTTCTCTGGGAATTTTTGTCTAACTTGCAATGCACAGTGATTCCAAACTTTTGGCCGGTAGTGTGTATAGAGGGTGTTTCCTTTATCTCGCAAAATTGGAAGTGATAAGTTTCAAAAGACGACAAAATTTACCAAATGTGGAATAAGACAAATTGTAAAAAAACACGAGAAAATAACTAAAAATTACAAATCTATTATATGAATATACAGGGTGTTTCCTTTATCTCTCAAAATTGGAATACCTCATTAGGGACTGAACCAATGAAAAAAATGTTTCAACAAAAATGATTTCGTATGAAGAAAGACACCATATGTTGCAAATAATTTTTTTGCAAGTCGAGTGTTGAGGGAAAATTTGTATACCCATTGTCGTACGATGAAGGACAACGTGTAAGGATCGAATCTCGAGGAATCCTGACGACGCATCTGAGGAAAAAGTATCTCCGGTTGTCCTCCGAATTTCTGCTCCGGGCGAACGAAGTCGTTGCTCAAACTCAGAGTTTCTGTTTTTTCGCTTCTGTCGTCGGTAGACGGTTCGTTCCCTTGAAGCACATTATCCCGCAAATGTGGATCGAACCTCTTGCCGTGGCCACCGTAACAAGAATGCCCAAACGCTGAACAACCACCTGTCAGGTAGAAAAGAAAATTGATTGCCGTTGTTATGCGAGTATAGAACAGTCGTTAATTCACTGATATCAGCTGTAAGTGAGATAAAGTGTATACAGAGTATTCGGTGAATATTTAAATGTATCAGAAAATATATAACAATTTGTGATTCGTATAAAAGGATCAAGTGAAATTTTGAATTTTAACATTATCAAATTTTCTGCTCACAATGAATTTTGGTTGAGGAAAGTTTGACATTTGTTTCTGTATTATTGAAAGAGTTGGAATTGTGAAATGTTAAAGTATAAGATAATAGAAAATGGAAAAATATTGCATTGATAATCTTGAACGATCGTTCTGTATTAAAATTTATCGATATTAATGGTAATTTAAGATTACTGACAGGCTGTATAATTTTAGGTATTTTTGGAAGAATTACGATACTGTATATCAGTGTTGAAATAATTGTAACTGATTACTAGAAAAGAAGAAGTGTTAAAAAATAGAATTTTCATATATAAACAGTGCTGATAAATAAAAGTACAATAGGTACAGTACTTAGAGTACATAAATAATTAAATAATCTTAATTTGAGTCTTTACTTAATTCGAAAATTCTGGATACTCAAACACTCAATCATATAATTGAATGCATTAAAAAAGTAATAGTATTTGATTGAAACCGATTTGCACATTCTTTGAAATTGCATTACTACAGGAAAAAGAAATCCACACATTTAAAAAGTATCAGCCAATAGGGAATAAATAGCAAAAATTATCGAATAAAATAGAGAACGTTTAACATAACAAGAGATTATTTCGTTTCAATAACTGAGATCTAATCTATCCCCTCTTTCTATGTGTTAACGAGAATAAATATAATTGTGAATAGAAAAAAGAATCTGTAATCAACACAGTTTCAATGTGCATCGATTCAATTTGACAATAACAACGTTGTAACGGTGTTCTCGTGACACTAAAGACTATTCCAGTCTACATCAGACAATAATTGTCTAATTCGAAAATACTCTACTACATTTCACCGTTTCCTATCTCAGCCCTGCGGTATCCAGTTTACACTTTCTGCTAACGAACAAAGCCATTCATTGACAAATTTAATTTTCCTCTCCCTTTGTTCTTTTCAAAAATGCTAGAATTTTGTCGAGCTCGAGATCGAAAAAAAAAGTACACGCAAAGTTATCGTCGCTGCGACAGCTTGCAAATAAAAAAAAATGTCCCATTTTTTCTAAAACTGAAATCACGTGATACTTTCTGTACCAAACATAACGGGTGTCCCAATACTTATGAACGATAGCGTATACGTAGCCGGTTAAGTGACTTAAAATAGAACGTTGAATACGCAAGGCGGATCAATCGAATCTCTCTCGTGGAGAAAATGACAAATCGAGCGCAACAGGGGAAAAAAGGAAAGTGGAGAAAAGAACGAACCGCGCGAGCAGGCTGAATTAAAAGCTGAGGTAAAAAGTGCAACGCGAAACGTGATTGGTCGCACGTGATCTGCAAGAGAAATGAAAAAGCGGGTGAATCGGACGAGGGCGTGAACTTATTCACTCAATTATTATCTTAAACGAAGGCTGGCTTTAATCGATCATCGGTTTCAAGTTTCTCTCCCCCCGATCACGTCCGGTTTGCGTGTTTTAAAAGCTTCTGAAAGCACTTTAAAGGGACTCGATCACGGGAGGGCTGGTTACCGGTAGAGATTCTCCCCGCTGCACAAAAGCGGCTCTACACCGATAGATAAATACACAAATTATAAAAGTGCTTTTTCCCGTATTTCTTCTCCCTTTACATTTTTAATCGGCTCGCTCGAACAAGCGAAATATGGAAAGGGACAAATGTTAAACGTGGAAGCTTTGATCCGAGAGTTGTTGATTTTGACAAGAGCACTCGTGGTAAAAACGAATGGGAACTTAATAGAAGCACACAAGGAGATTATTTTTATAAAAGGGAAATTATTCTACTAAAAATCAGCTGAACGAAGCGAAGTTCCTTTTTCTGTTCTTAACTGAATTTCATTCGTAGAATTACACTTGAACAAGTGTGCATGAATCTTCGTTTTCGGAAAGTTTCATGCAAAAATAGTACGACTGATAGATAAAAAAAAAAGAAATATGTGAAAGGGCAATAATCATTTTTAAGTCAAGAGAAATTAAGATGATTAATTCGAATCTCCATCATTTTAGAAAATATTATAATTAAAAGTGTACTCGAATTTAATATCTCAATAGTAAATATGAAATTTAATTATTACGTTAATTTGAACAAATCCGAACTTCAGTTTCTTCTTACCTATATTCAATATTTTAAAAACAAAGATATTGTCATTAAGTTAATTTTCCGGAATTTTATGTTTCAATCGAAAAGCAAGCAATGTATTCAATAAAATAGATTAAATTATCAATATACGCGTTTAAACGTGTTGTAATACTGTCAAGTACTCTTTCGATCATTTATAATGGAATAGGTTCACAGATCCTACTTGTTCTACCCTATCTCTCCTTTTCTCAAGTGATTGACTGCTCTCGGTATCACCTTCCAGTTTTCTTTAGAAAAGCAAGTCGACGATCCATTACGTCCAACGATTTATATATTTATAATTGCTGCTATCCTCGATTGTATACGATTAACATTACTATGATTCAGAGATTACTTGCAAACGAGGTCTTTCAAAGACCAAAATATCTGAAATTATTCTGAAATTATTTGAGAAAATTTTCAAATTATTATTAACCCTTTGCATTCCACTGGTATAGTACGCACCATAACTCCGTTCAAGCTTTATTCGTATGAAAATGAAGCAAATCAACAAAAGAAATAATCCTTTCCAAAAAATTCTCTGCAAAAGTGTGTTAAAATTGCGGGTCGGTCAGAATGTTCAAAGTGCAAAGGGTTAAAATATCTGAGATAGTTGAAATTACTTTCACACCAGTTATCATACCATAAAATCAAAAATTATAAAACAGCCTTAAAGGCAATTTCAAAGGACATTCAACATCTCCCATTAGATTTATCCACCTGAAGAGTGCAATTATTAAAAAATTCTCTACAAAGGTATTTCATACAAGAAAACATGTGAATATTGAACCAAACACGGAACTAAAAAACAATTTTCTACGAATCTATTTCCATAACAATAACTGAGTCAAATATTCCCATGCTTCCATCGAAAAATTTCGCTCCAAGAGAGAAGAGTAGCGCGTAAAAGTCTGACTTTAAAAGAGGCGCAAGGGGACAAACATAGTGCATTGGTCGCGAAAATAGCTCGAGCCGCGAAGCGTTTCCCGTTCGACGAGCTTTTCGATGGCACACAACCCGCGATAAATCGCTTTTTTGCCACAGTCCGCATTCGGGGAAAATAGAAATATTTGCAGGTGACACGCTCTCAACCGAAACATTCTGCTCGCACTTTGTGTTTATGATCGTCGACGAAATACATTTTACGACTGCGACAGCCTATTCTGCTCATTCGAATTCGGACCAGAGTTGAGCGTTCCCATCATGAATCAGATTGGCAGCTCGAACGATTCTATCGTTTCTGGATGCAGATGTGTCGAAATCTAACGACACATTGTAACCTGTTCTCGTTGCTTTTTGCGTCTTAATTGATCGTGGCAGCGTGTTCATTTCTTTTTAACATTCGGTATTTTCTAAGCGCTGTTGCTTGTCTGCTTTAATATTCTACAACAAAGTGTTTCTTAACGGACGGAACAGCGAAAGAAGTGGCTACACACTGTCGTTAGCAGAAGAGTTTCATAAAACTGACCTTTCGAAAATATTTGAAAGAAAAACCTCGATATTCTTGGAACTAAGTATTTGCAGGTATTCCCTGGGACGAATCGTGATTTCTTCGATTTCAAACATCATTATCTCGATGAAATGAATTTATTTATCTTACTTTAAGGGTATTTTATCTTACTTGGACGTGACTTTAATTCCCAACAAAGGCGACAATTTTACTCGTAATAATTAATGCGTTCAGTGCTACTGGACAATTATGAGTTTCAACGGAAGTTTAAAGGGACGTTGAAAAGTTACGCTAAAATGTTAAAAAACAGAAACACAATGCTCCTTATTTTCCGTATTTTCTTTAAATACAATTTAAGGTCGCATCAACGTCTTGGTTATTAGCGACCATAATTCGCGATTGTTTCATATTTCAAGATAAGTGTATTTATTCTATGGATAAGTTCGACTGTGAAAGTACTTTTTCTGAATCTACAGAGTGAATATTTTTTAATTAGTATCTTCTTAAACGATGATCTGCAGAAATAACAAAGTAACCATTGTAGCTTCTTTATACACCATCAAAAACGAGGGTAACTTCGTTCGACGTCATTCAGCTTAACTTCGTTTTCTACTCGAACCTACGAATCAAAGGGGAAAGGAACAAAAACGTAGCTTTCGCTCGTTACGAATATTTGCAGAACAGATTCGCCCAAGAATTTGATAAAATTTATAACTACAAATAATACCTCGAGTTTCCGATCAAACGAAACAAGTTGATTTCGAATCTCTGAATTTACGCGTTTACTTAAAGTACACGCTTGAAAGTAATTTGAACGGTGAAAAGCAAGGAGCTATTTAATATTCCCTGAAATAGACACGAAATTCACCCTTTACTTCCAAAAATAATTAGTCAGTAATAAGACAATATTATTTAAAAAAAAAAAAAAAACAATGCAAAGTTCTTCCACGACGAGTATTAAATTTTCAAAGTAATCTATAAGTTTGAAAGTCGCAATATCAGCGCAGATAAGATGAAGCATCGTTCCTAGAAATCGACAGTAAAAGAGCAACTTGTTCGACCCAGTTGTAGATAGAAATGACATTATTCTTGGGATCGAGTGATTTAATAAAAGCGGTTCGCCTGGTATAAACCTACGAATGCCGCTTGCATTTAAAGTGCGACATAACGACGAATATTTAGTAAATACTTGAACCAATTTTTATCCCATTCTGAGACATACTTCACTCGAAGACAACCAACAGAGTTTTCGGTC